ATATATATATAAAATATATATTTATGCTCTAATTGACAATCAAAAGAGGGGAATGTGCGTGCATGTGCATAATTAAGAGGCACGGTGAAGAAATGTAAAACTTCTGCTCCTTGCAAATGTATTCTTTGAACTCCTTGAAGAATGGAGTTCGCTCATCAAGCTTGTGTGCAAAAATCTGTACACACAAAGCTGCCGGCTCACCTTTTCCTTCGTTGAGGCTCTTTAAAAATGGCTTCAGCGTCTTCTCGTACAGAATGGCGCCTTCTGTGTAACGCTGGCGTAAAACCATCCAGGTTTGCTCCAGGCGGGAGATCTGAAGGACAAAGGAATAAGGAGAAATAGCCAATTGTGGGTCAATGACACTAACCTGGCAAGGTGCAATGATGCCTCTGGTCTGGGGGGCCCAAAGCACAACCCAGCAGATAGCATTTGAGGAGGGTGGCAGGGTCTTGTCCTCAGAGGCCCATTCAAGAATAAGCTCGCCATTGGGAGGTGGGGGGAGAAAAATAAGAATTTGGAGTGATACAAGTGAAGACTAGAGTGGTGTGGTGGCCCTAGAGGTGGAGCTCTTGCCTCACAATCAGGAGGCTGTGAGTTCAATCCTAGGTAGAGGCAGATATTTCTCTCGGCAAAATGAGAATATATCTGCTGAACAAAACTCCACCCTGGCAACAAGAAAAGCATCCGGCCAGTAAACACTCTGCTCCATTCAGTTGCCTGGACTCCACCTTGCAAGGAATTATGGTATCATTAAAAGATGATGGTGACTTAGGTGAAGATTAGGCAGAGCTCCTCTAAGATGTTCCAGGATTTTTACTCTGGGTCCCCATCAGATTTCCACATTCTTGGGAAGCTTTCCTCCCTGGCGGGCGCTGACAATTACCTGGGTCATTTCTAACGCATTCATCACAGCGGCAAAACTGTACATGTTGCCCATGGTGCTCTTCAGCTCGGCGGCCAGCTGAATGGTCTTGTGGAGAAGAGAGGCCCGCTCCACCATGCTTCCTGTGCACCCCAAAATATCCACCGCGATCATGATGGTCATGGTGTGGAACCTAACGGGAAGAAGCTGCCATCAGGTTTTATAGTCCTGGCTGGATCCCGTGTGGCGAGATGTTTTCAAGTGCTTTTGGGTATCGAGGACTTTAAACTTGCAAGCAAGCTCCGTTCGAATCGCCAAAGTCTTCATCTAAGAAGATGGCAATGCACTTTGCAGATCTGTTCCCCCCCCACTTTTTCCATCACTTCTCCCCTCTTTTTGCTTCGTCAACGCTTACCTTTCCAACAAATCCAGCCGAAGCTGATGTCCGTGGGGCAGGGTGAGCAGCTCCATCCCTGAGCTGACTCCCATGAGCCTCTGCATCTCCTTGGTAACCCCCAGTATCCTAGCAACCTGCAACAAAGAGGACGGAGGGGTTTAATCTCCACACCCTGGTCCTTGGATGGAGAGAGGGGAAAGCCTCCGCAAAGAATAATGGAAAAAAACAGGAATCCTTAATGACTGCAATAAATTCCCTTTCCTATCTCGCCTTTCCATGCTTTCATACTGCCAGGAGGGCTCTCAAGTCAAATTGTAGCGAGAAAAAAATTGCTTCAGCAAAAGCGAACCAAAGTTCCTTCCTGCTCTGTTCTATTGACCCAGATCAAGAGTCTCTATGCCCCTTGAAGGGACTTTACACTCCTGGCTCCAAGATNCTCCCCACTTCAGGGGAAGGATACTGCAAAATCTCAATTCCCTCCCCACTCCAAGGGAAGGATACTGCAAAATCCCCACACATTTGGGCTTCCGCCCGTATGGCATACCTTGCAGCTTCACCTCCGCGTTGGTGTGGTAGAGTCCCCCGTGGTGAGCCACCATGCGCGCTGCGTCCAGATGGGCCATAACCACCTCCACACTATTGTCCAGGTTCTCCCAGGGCTCAGGGTGGTCTGGCAGCGCCGTGTCTCTTTCCAGAAGAGTGATGAGAGGCACGATGTGAGGGAAGGTGGTGTTTGATAAGGATGGTCCTTCTGGGAGGAGAAAAGAGATGGAGGGTTGTCCAAGTCATACAGCTATTCTACAGGCTCAGCTTCCCTCCATGGGAGCTTCTGCTTCTCGAAATTTTAGATGGTCTTTGGGGCTTTCTAGATATAAAATAATTGGAGGTACGGTATGCTAACTGCCTTTAGATTGTCTCCTTCTGGTCAGGCTTCATCTGTAACACTGGCTTGGAGGCAACATTTGAAGAAAGATTTGGGGGAAGAGAGGCACATTCTGCCTCTATTTATTAAATTTTTATGCCACCCATCTTCCCTGTAGTGGGGATTCTGGGCGCCTTGCAAAACAAGTAGAAAAATAAATGGAACTATTAAAACGACACCGATTGAAGATTTCAAAACTATACTGAAACCAGAACTAAGAGATGGACAGGATGGGGAATGAGATCTTCTTAGTACTTCTATTGACTTATTGATCTAAGTGGCTACAAATTCACCTCTTCAGATACAAATATATCTTTTTTCCCCCTAAATTGTTCCCAGTTGCAACATTTCCCAAAATTTATAACTTAAGGTCTACGTTAGTGACTCCTAAATCCACTGGTTACTAGACAAGAAAGGGATTGTTCCATAATTTCATTTCAACTAAGAAATACCTTGATTGCATTTCCACCCTACTTTCTCCAGTGAATTAAGGGCTACCCTTATATATATTATATNGAGAGTCAGCATATTGCCCCCAACAATCTGGGTCTTCATTTTACCCACCTCGGAAGGATGGAAGGCTGAGTCAACCCTGAGCCGGTGAGATTTGATTCCTTTGGGAATCCTTTCTTTTGAGTAAACCCATGCAAAGGTGGACCTAATTTAGCATTAAAATCTCCAAGCAATATAATTATGGCTTGAGGGTTCAGTATGGATATATCATCTAATAGGACTTCTAAACATGTCCAATAGTCAGGGATGTGTTTGGAGGAATGTATGCATTTATATTACTCCAAATTCCTCGTATCTAAATTTCACAGCTAAGAAAAAATACGAAAACTGAGCTTCATTATATAGTTTCTCCCCCTGGCATTGCAATTCTTGTTGGATAGAAACACATAACCCACCAGAAAGTTGCCCTTTATCCTTTGTTTTTTGGTGGGCAAAGCCCATCCCCGAAAGCCCCAGAAGTTGTACTGATTCGTCCTCTTCAGTTAGCTGGGTTTCCTGGATGGCTATTGCATCAAATTTAGATAAGAAACTCACTATATAGTCCACTTTCAACCCCTTCCTTCCAGCCAGCTATGTTCCAAGTCACAATTTGTGTAGGACTCCTGAAAGCATGATATTCTGATTTGGGAATAAATATTCTCACTAGGGATATTCTGACTAGGGAATAAATAAAGGTACTGAAGGCCACCTTATTTTTGGAGCTGAATCAATATTGACTATACTTCCTGTGTAAGCACAATTATTGTAAAGCTCAATATTCCTCCTCACCAGTTGTAATTGTTGGTCTTTATCTTGATTGCTAGTATTCCCCTGTATTTTCATCTAAGACTTAGGACTCATTAATCATTATTATCTCGTTGTACTGGATGGTTAATTTGGACTTGTACTGTTATATCCCACTGTGTATCTTTTTTTTGTTTTGTTTTGGAGTAACACGCCTTCTCTTTTTATTCATTGGGGATTTGCTTTCAAATGCCGACCTTGATAATAGCAGACAACAATAGAGCAGCTAGAGGGGAGCAGAGTATTCAAACTTTCTATTGCATTAGTTACCAATTTCAACATTGAACTATTTATTCCGATTTTCTTTAAAATCAGCTGTTGATCTCCTGGGCAAAAAAGGGTGGCAACTCATGGATTAATTCTTCCCCATCTTCCATAAATTAGAACTTTGTGTTAAGTAAATCTGAATTCTCTTTTTTACTATCATCCTTGCTAATCGGGGAAATATTTATTTGGCTGTTAATGGTTTAGCAATCCCAAAGTTGGAATCGGCCTCCCTTGCTGTCTTGGCTCTCTGCCCAGATTTTAGCACAAGCTGCATTTGGGTAGTATAAAACACCCATATTGGCCGAATACAATATTTCTTTAGAAAGGTTTTTCAAGCGATGAAAGAAACAATAGGCTCAAAGGTTAACAATAATCTTTTACAAGCATGTTTGCTGGGGAGCCAAGAAATCAGTGTTAGTTCATTAGAATATATCCTTGCAGTGTAAAAGTTTGGGAAAGAAAGTTCCGCATGTCTCATCTGTTACGCTACCTGTCCCAATTCAAAGGAATATCAGCAACTCGGAGTAGGATTTTATTAATAATGTGTGTCTGGAACTCTATTCTTATTTGGCCTATGGGCTAATCAACTAATTGCTGTAAATAGAGCTTACACCACTAATTAAGCTGATCGGCTGTGTGTCCTCACAACACAATGCAATCCCCTGACTCAACTGCCACTGCTGACACATACCTACCCATTAACTATAGTTTGCATGCCACAACTGGTTCATAAGCAAACCATTTTGTAGTTTTAGGTGTGCGGAAGCAGCATCAAACTCCTATGAAAGGATTTGCACACTTCTATCTGGATCCTGGCAAACGAATGCCCCCTAGCGGCTAACAAGGCATCTCTTCCAAACATTTTTCTCCTTTTCAAACTTTTTATAAATATTTTCTCTGCCGCAAGCATTTCTGCTTTACTGCTTCCTCTGGGAGTCTGTATGCAGCCATGCCCCTCTTCCTTCTCGGATGAACTTTTGTTTAGGCTGAGCTACAAAATTGAAGTTGTTTATTAAATTTGTTCGCCACCCATCTTTGCCGCAAGATGACTTGGGGCCATAAATATATAAAATCACATTAAAGTTAGTGATTGTGAAATCCTATCAAACTGATTACAGTTTGAGACGTTTTCTTACAGCCAAACCTTTCCTGCAATACTCCAAAACGCCCCATAATTTGGTTATTTTTGCTTTTTCTCTTACCAACGAGCAGGGTTTATATTATCTCTAGCTGTTCGAAAATGCCCAGCTACCTCCTCTAGGACTTCTCCTCTCCTTCCTTTCTCTCCCTCCACCATCGGTGTTTTGTTCCTTGGTGCATTGCAGTCCAATGGTGGGATTCAAATTTTTTTACTACCAGTTCTGTGGATGTGGCTTGGTGGGTATGGCTTGGTAAGCATGGCAGGGGGAAGGATGCTGCAAAATCTCCATTCCCTCCCCACTCCAGGGAAGGATACTGTAAAATCCACATTCCCTCCCCACTCCAGGGGAAGGATACTGTAAAATCTCCATTCCTTCCCTACTCCAGGGAAGGATACTGTAAAATCTCCATTCTCTCTACACTCCAGGGGAAGGACACTGTAAAATCCCCATTCCCTCCCCACTCCAGGGGAAGGATACTGTAAAATCCCCATTCCCNCGGGTTTTCCCAGATGTGCCAACGTGGCTCTCTTCATCAATTGGAACTTTGAGCAATACGTTGCCTTGGACTCTGATTTACTTTTGGATGCTATTTGGAACCCTGACACATCCCCATTCCTATCGAGCAACCTTAACACCCTCCCTCTGCCCTCCCATTCCCGTACCAGGCAATCCACGTGGGTGATATGCTTGGCGAGAGTCCTCGCATCCCCTTCGGCCAGCAATTCCTTGATCTTCTTCAGCACCATCATTTCCAGAGGCTTGTTTTCCCCCGGAATAAGCAAGGAGTGGAACAAGGCGGGGTTGAACGTGGATGTCCTTTCCACCACCGGGACCACAAAACCCATCATGTCCTGCTCCAGCCTCTTTCTGGACCCTGCTTCTCCTTCAGAGCCATTCAGGACAAACCCTCGCTGGCATTCGTCCCCCTTTAGCCTCTCCACATAGCTTTTGGTAGGCATCCCCTTGTTGTTGTCGGCCGTTGGCCTGTCCCAATGGACCGGGGATGGCGGGTGAAGCTGGCAATAATGTCCTGAATCTGGGTCGCTGTAGCTGCTGGCAGACGGAGAAGGGGAGGCCCTGGAGCATCCGTGGGAAGGGGTTGAGTGGGGGCTGTCGGACAGCTCACTCTTACTGCCATTCCCCTGGCATAGCTGCGGCTCGCTGGAGCGTCGGATGACCGGGGATGACGGGGCGGCACCGTTGCCACCTTGTGGCTTGAGACGAGTAACTGCAAAAAATAAAGAAGCAGAAAAGCTTGTTTGTCCCACAAGTTGAATATTTGCAAGCCCTCAACCTTGTAAGAACGGCTCAGCGTGCAAGTTTTTGGAAAAGAGTGCGTGCCTGTGAAATTGAAGAGTGAATGCATGTGAAATTGAAACACATATTTTGCACCAGGGAAGGGGAGCCTTTGTGCCTGAGACGTCAGCTTAAAAGTGGTGTTGCTACTAGCTGAGTGCATTAAGTAGTTCTGAGAATTAGGACTCAAGATTCAAAAATCTTCAAAAATATTTATTAAATGCAGCCAGAATTGCATTTGCGCAGCAATGGAAGAATGCTGAGGTCCCGTCAGATGAGTGTGTAATTAAGAAAATATTAGAATGCGCAGAAATGGATAGACTAACACTTACTATGAAGGATAAAGAAGAAGAAACTGAACATTTTTTTTGACGTGGGATATATTTTAGTGATGGTTATACAACATAAACAGAAGTTAGACATTAAAAAGAGGAAATGTTAAAATCGAGAGCTTTTAAAGAAGATAATGTTAAATATTATTATTAAATATATATGTTGAAGTCATGAATACCACAGCAAAGCATTTGGATTATGCCTGCTTAAGAACAACTGTACCCAGATCACACACCGTTTGATGGAAATTGAATTTTTATATGTTATGTAAATAAAACAAAACACGAAGATGAATGGAGGAGTCAGTTCAGCTAGTAAGGTTATGAATGTTATATCTTCATAAGTGCAGATGGCCGAGGAGCTAAGGAGGGCATGCTTAAAGACACAGAACTGGAGCATTCAAATCTTAATTTTTAAGATAATCACATTTCCTGCATGATTTCTGTTCTTTTTCTCAAGAATATCCAATGGAAAAGGCTGGCTGGTCTAAGTCGCATTTTAAAATTAAAGCCTCCGAAGAACAGAATGACATCTCGCAAGTTACCCTTCGACGATTACAATTTATTTCATCACAACCTGCTCCTCTGGGAGGCAATACTTTGCCTGCATCTTTAAAACAATGGGTTTATCTGGGTCAGAGGAAACCTGGAGGCCACATTCTCACAAGCTTTAAAAAAACAAACCTGAACTTTAGCTAGAACCTTTGTGGTTCAGCATCCTACAAGCCCCAGCTGTGTTTGTGGTCAAGACAGATGCTTTCCGCAACGAAAAGGAAAATAACAAAATGGGTGTTGCAACATCGGAGGCTGCAAAATTCTTGCCTGCGAGATCACGAAAGGGTTGAAGTTGTGTCTTGCTTGCCCACAACACACATATTTTGCCACTGTAGTTAAAGGCGGATTCCCGCAGTTGGATGTGTGACACAAAGCTAGAAAATTCAGGTATCGGATGAAGGGATATGATGCAAAACGCAGCCACTGCATTTTGATCTGAATCTTTGAAGCCTCTATTTTATATTGTTTAAAACATATAAAGGGAAAGGTTCCCCTCGCACATATGCACTAGTCGTTCCCGACTCTAGGGGGCGGTGCTCATCTCTGTTTCAAAGCCGAAGAGCCAGCACTCTCCGAAGACGTCTCCGTAGTCATGTGGCCGGCATGACTCAACGCCCGAAGGCGCACGGAACGCTGTTCCCTTCCCACCAAAGGTAGTTCCTATTTTTCTACTTGCATTTATTTACGTGCTTTCGAACTGCTAGGTTGGCAGAAGCTGGGACAAGTCACAGGAGCTCACTCCGTTACGCTGCGCTCGGGATTCAAACCGTCAAACTGCCGACCTTTCTGATCGACAGCCTCAGCGTCTTAGCCACTGAGCCACTGCGCCCCCTATTAAATTAACTTACAAGCAGTCCCTTTTAAAACGTATACACAGGGTTTAAATAAATTCACACAACCCATTGTTTTTT